ATCTGTCACATTTTGAATGTTTTTCCTTCTTTTTTAAAAATGGATAAACAAAGGGAGCGAAACCCGACTCCTTGTTTAGGTTTCAAGGAATAAACCCACAAAAATGACACATTTTTACACGGTGTGCCAAAAGAGCCATTTGAGGATGAAGAACGTTCTCAAAAACGCATTGTGTTTTAATGTGTGTACATTCACCCCAATGAATTACAGGTTGATGCGACCTGGGAATTCTATTCTTTGACATTCTAGTGTGCCAAAACGAATTTGTCTCGTGCAAACAAATACACGCATTTGCAGTTAATAATACACACACACACACACACACACACACACACACACACACACACACACACACACACACACTCACACACACACACACACACTCTCATGAACATGAATACACCCATATTTCTCAAAAGGAAACAAAAGAGAGTAGGTTTGCATGTCTTTGTATGTTATTAATGTAAAAATAGTATGTGTACATTTGTGCTGTAACATGCTGTTAATTGTTTTCTGTTACGACCTTTGTGTACTGCCTGTGTGACACCTTTAAGAATAATATACAGAGCTCAGCTTTCTGCTAAATAAGTAATAGACAACATATAAAATATTAAGTAGCAGGATTTTGTCAAACAAGTCTATGTTTGCATGAAGAACATTATTTAGGTATAAAAGACTCTATTTCTGTGATACGTTTTCTCTTAGTTTTAGCAAAAGTTTTACGTGTACGGCACTTGCAACACAAATAGGTCATATATAAATGCTGATGATATGTTTTCTGCAGATGTAAAGGTCTCTCTTTCTGTGACACATTTTTGCAGGTATAAAGGACTCTCTATGAATGTATAAATGACTCTCTAGGATACATTTATGCAGGTATTAATGACACTCTAGGATACATTTATGCAGGTATAAAGGACTCAATTTCTGTGATACGTTTTTGGCAGGTATAAAGAGGGGATGTTGCGGGCCAAGGCAGATGATAGAGAAACTATTCAGCTGATAGAGGGCGCTGCAGCGGGTATGGTCGCCACCGTGGAGGCTGCGGGGCCTGAGGCGCTGGAGGACTGGGAGGTGGATGAGTTGCTAGACTGGACCACGAGTCTAAATTTTGAGGAGTAAGTGTTTGTATGTGTGTGTGTGTGTGTTTGTGTGTTTGTTTGTTTGTGTGTTTGGATGAAAGAGAGAGAGAGAGAGAGTTACTGTGTTTTTGTGGTTATGTATGAGTGTGTGTGTTTGTGTGTATGTATGTGTGTGGGAGAGAGAGAGAGAGAGAGAGAGAAAAAGAGAGAGAGAGAGAGAGAGAGAGAGAGAGAGAGAGAGAGAGAGAGAGAGAGGAGGGACAGAGAATGAGAGTATGTTTGTAAGTGTGTGCATGTGCTTCTGTGTGTGTTAATTGTTAAATGTACAGTTTGTTCTGTGTGTATGTGCATCTGTATTTTGTATGTGAGAAAGTGAAGTAGGAATGTACAAAAATTCATTTTACTGACTTTTTTGTCATATACTGTCAATCTAAAGTCAGTTGATTTTTTTTACTGTATTCTACATTGTGAATTTTCTTTCCTCACAGATACAGAAATACATGGTCTGATTTAGCAACAAGTGCAACGTCGCAGAAATTTGTTGGTAAGTTGTTTGGTATACCTTGTCTGGTAAGTTGTTTGGTATACCTTGTCATATTTTTCTATAGCACCTTCGAAGCATTTTTTTTCTCTGAAACCGTTGTTTAACATTATCGTTTATTCACAATATTATTGCTTTTATAATCAAACTTTGTGAAGTCTCCAATATTTCACTTGAGTGCAGAGAAAGTATTTATTTAACTCCTTCATGACTCCTCCTTTTTTCAAAACCTGAATCATTATGATGTATATATATATACATTCAAAATTGTCTAAGACATCACCTATTGGCAAGGAGAAATGTTTTTGTCTTAGGCAGTTGGATATCTTGGAAGAGTGTCATTATACTACTTTAAAAAACCCTAGGGGGCTGGCGGGGGTGGGGGTGGGAGTTGTGACAGGTGATTGTCTTGGAGAGGTGACAGTTAGAGCAGGTTTAACTGTATTCTCTACTAATTTTTTTTCCAGTAACTATATTATTAATCGCTCGTATTCACTCATATTCACAGAAGACAAACTAAGACTTACAACCAACTTCTCCGACCCTTATGAGATGAGTCTTTCAACTGGGCCTTCAAGGTATACGTCAGGGCGCCAGTCACACATGACACCCGTTACTATAAATAGCGCCGACTCCGGTAAAGCTGCCCTGAAAGCTTGAGACCTTGATTGGTTTTACAGAAGTTTTCTTTTTGCTTTTCTCCTCTGTCCAAGTATGGACTATGGACCAACTGACCCAGATTTACGTGTGTGCCCCAGGATATGAACATGCTCAATTCTGTTATTGCCTTTGGGATTTTTGGGAGTTATTTTGAACCGAAAGGTCACTGGATGGAGAAAAGTACATGGTCCCTTAACTTTGTGCCTTTATGATTGACTGTCATAAATGTTTTAGTCCCCCACCCCAACCTCTACAACCACTCAATGGACACAATTAAGATAACATAGGAGAGGGGGCTTTGTTGATCCTGGCAGTCAGAGCTGAACAGGATAATAATATCCTTTTAGAAAGACTTGAGATACTCAATGAGACTGGATGAGATGGACTCTTCCACTCATGAATCAAGCTCTCATCTTTTACCCCAGGCAATGGAGAGCCTGATACCTACAGTGCTGAAGCTAGTATTGTGGTTTTAATGTAACGAAAGAAAAAGTCATACCAATCCAAATTTTGGCTGTGCATGTTGATGAAGCAATCTGTGCAGATATTCTCAAAACATCAAGAAATGATTCAGATAAATGTGAAATAAGGGTGTCAGTATATCATGCTTACAGTTGCAATAGTCCTGACCATATGGAGAAAAAATTAAATTGTGAGACATAGTGAAATCAGGCACTCGTCAAAATAATGAAATCGAATAAACTTGCGTTTTCCCACACATTTGGCAATTTTTCTCAATTTTTTTGTCTTTTGGCTTAACTCCTTTTATCTCTATTTAAAACACATTTTAGAGGGGATTATACTGAAAAATGTTGAATAAAGGCCCGAAGAATGTAAATTTGCGGTCTCCAAGGACTCTCAAGCTTTGGAGGTCACCAAACTTTTGCAACCATTTTCTCGCTAATTTTACCTCTGAAACCAGGCGACCCTGACCTCCTTCAATTGCAAATATCTCAACTTCTATTCAAGATAGATGAATATTTTTTCACTCGAAAGTAAGAAAAATTGACAGTCTTTAAGATGATACCAATAACTCCACATGCCCAAAAAACGAGCGCCTTGATTCCACGGTGTGGTGACACAATGTAAATTTTCCTGGAAGTGATTTGTGCCACTGTGTTTTTCAGATTGTGCCTGTTTTGTAAATGTTCAAATTGACTTGATCTAATGCATTTTGCGTTTTGAGTGGTCAGGCAAGCAGCTGTAGGCTTCCTGATAATTTCACTTTGTGGGTTAAATTTGCAGTGTCAATCTGTATTAGTTGCATTTTACATTTACATGATGCCAACTTAAGCTTAATTGAATTGAGTGAGTAAACATAATCATTATGAATGTAAGGTATCTCTGATGAGCCATCTTTTAGGATCATCTGATTTACAACTGTCATAGAAGTATGTCATTATTGTTCAAGATACTCTGAATGCAGTACCCGTAAGCAAGAAGGTAAGATAAAATAAGATAACAGTTTAGTGATCTCCACAAAGAGAAATTAGCTGTGGCATGGTATGCAAACACACACACACACACACACACACACACACACACACACACACACACACACACACACACACACACACACACACACACACACACACACACACACACACTCACACACACACACACACACGCACACACACACACACACATACACACACATAGACTCACACACACACACATACAGACTCACTCTCATACCCTTTTTTTCTCTCTCTCTCTCTCTCTCTCTCTCTCTCTCTCTCTCTCTCTCTCTCTCTCTCTCTCTCTCTCTCTCTCTCTCTCTCTCTCTCTCCCTCTCACACACACACTTACATATACAGAGTGTATCCTCTCTGTATCCTGGCATAGGTTGAGGGACACCTGAGGAGAGGCTGAGATCTTTGTTTGCTTTCAGTGGAAGTTATTGCTTCATTGCAAAAGGTGCTTGAGACACTTCTCTTTACTGTGCTTTTTTGCCACCAGGCATTTACAATGTATAAAATCCTCAAAACTTATTAAGCTCTAATCACACCGGTAAGTAGTTGCTGATACCTCGTCGCCATTTTACTTTAGCTTCTCATCCCATTTGATCGTAATGGACTCGTACCTTGAAATATATCTTTTGGAATTCTAACCCTTGATTTTTTAAATGCTGAAGAGTATTAGTGTTCCTCCTTGCTCTCACATAATACACACACAAACATGCACACACACACACACACACACACACACACACACACACACACACACACACACACATAACTACTCTTATACGAACAAAATGATACATGAGATGTCATACAGACTAGATTTTAGTGTATACACACAGACATAGCATGCTTACATATACAGTCATATTGTGTGCACACATACACCACACACATCTGGCAAGAATGCTCTGTTCTCTCCATGAACCTTTGGAAATCCACACTTGCCATTGTTTTTCCCTAATGTTGAAATTCTCATGCTATTTTCATATGGCCCTTTAACTTTGTAGTCTGAATGTTGGATTTGTCCCTTTATCCATTTGTAAGTTAAGAATTGGATTTTCACTGTCCCCTGCCTGTATCAGATTTAATGATTTATATTAAATCTTTGCCAACGTTGTTGGTATTTGTTTGGGCTGTTTTCCCTTGTTTGTGTTTCTTCTATGGTTTGCTGTATAAATCATGTGGTCAGGAATATGGCATAGTGTGTACATAGAAATCTAAAAGTACATAATAACAATAATATTATTATTATGAATAAACTTTGTTGCAGAAATCGTGCAAGTCTCTCTTAGTTGATGATATATTTACCACCACTTCCGTTTTCAATCCGTATTTATAGCTTTGTGTGTGTGTGTGTGTGTGTGTGTGTGTGTGTGTGTGTGTGTGTGTGTGTTTGTACATGTGCATTGTTTGTTTTCATCAGACCAATGTTGACAGTACTGACAGCCCTTGTGAATGGTTGGAGGGCGCCACTGGTAGGTCCTACTTCTATTCTTTCCATGTTGCTTCTATCTTTCTTTTCCCCTGCATCAAATGACCATTATCGTGTCCATGTGCTTCCCTTTCCTCGAAATTAACAGACAGTCCTTCTTTGTATTATGGTCCCTTGTCCTACTCTACAATACTGCCAGTAGTTGGTTTCGCCCAGTGAGTGGTTGGCGGGTGCTCTGGTGTGGTTTGCTCCTTCTTCCCTATCAAACATCTATCATCCTGATCTCTCCTCCTTTTTTGAGTTTGTTCCTCTCTTGTAACACCTCTAATCTTCGGCATTTCTTTGACTTTATTCAGTTTCAAGTGCCGCAAAACTCTTACTAAATAGATTTTAAAAACACACACGCTCTCGTCCTTCCAAAGTTCTTAGGGCCGTATACACTTCAACAACAACAGTAGCAACAGCAACAACGAACTAAAACAGCAAAACATATAAAATTAGCAACATAAACTATTTTTTTGCGCTTATCGGGAAAGTTGGGCATTCTCTCTTGAGGTAAAGCCCGAGAAATTGTTATGGTTCATTCCAACCTGTCCTGTGCTCGGAGGCACAAAAGGGTGTATGTTAGTTTGTTGTGTGTGTGTGTGTGCGCGCGCGTGTGTGTGTGTGTGTGTGTGTGTGTGTGTGTGTGTGTGAGTTTGCATGCTTGTTCATGTGCGTGTGTGGTGTGTGTGTGAGGGTGTGTGGGTGTATCTGTGTTTGTGTTTGTGCATGTGTGTTTGTGAGCCTGTGTGTGCGTGCGTGCGTGCATGCATGCGTGCGTGCATGTGTGCATGCGTGCGTGCGTGTGTGCGTGTGTGCGTGTGCGTGTGTGTGTGTTCATATATTTTATCATAATAATACAGTCGAACCTGCCATAACGACCACTTGTCCAAGACAATCTCCCTCGTTTATTTTTAAAAAATAGAATAATGACTCTGTTTAATACACCACCTGCCTAAGACAAAGACTTTCCCCCGTAAAATATGTTGGCCGTCTTGGACAGTTTCGACTGTATATTATAATATCTGCGAGCCATCCAAATGTCCAGTTCCTTATCATGATATTACTATGCCCTTGACCTCTTTCTCCTAAAGGCTAGACCCTCTTTTTGCACGGCAGATTTGGTATGGCTGTTAAGTTATTACAGCACCTCTAAGTCAGTGTGTACTGATAAACGTGTGTCGTCTTTCGGGAATATTTAAACAGCACCTTAACCACTTCACTGCTGTTGTGTAGATGTATGGTGATCTCTGAAATTGGGTTACTGCCCAGTTTTTATACTAGTGCATCGAAGACGTTTTAGAAGATGTTATTTGCAATTTGTGTTCTTTATATTATGACCAATTTGTGTTGCAAGAGCTGTAAAACTGTAAACGAGCTGTAAGAGGATAAAATAAGGGACAATTACACCAGCTTTGTTTAAATGTCTCTTTAGGGAACATGAACATTTTATCTTGTTTGTACAAACGTAGGTGGAAACGCCTCGGCTCTAAAAGGGTTAATATACACACAGGACAAACAGGTAGATTACAAGCCCAGCATCCACAACTTTACCGACTTTACTGTCCAGCGGCTACTTTCACCTACGACAGCGTCTCTTCGAGTAGAATGTTTGCATTCTAAGCAAACTTTCTGTCACAAGGGAAAACGTTTGGTAAGTTTTGTTTTATTTGTTTTACGGGTGCGCTTGTGTTTTGTTGTGTTTTATTCTTTTTAATATGACCTGGCGTCTATGATATAGCGGTTAGGCGCTTCGCCGTCACCTACGTAACACCCAAGTCCGAAGTCCGATTCCCGTGAGGGAAGAGTAGCCTATTATTTTTATCAAGTGTCTCGGTTTTTCTGCTAAAATCTTGTATCCCTCTCAGCTCGTGTCAGTTCGAAGAGGCAGGAGTCGACTGGAGCGTACAAAACACCTAATATTGCACGCCTTATTAGATCACAATACATCGTTTTGAAGGTTGAGGACTAAACAGAAGAAGGAGGGAAAAAAGAAAGGAGAAACAGTACGCCAAAGTAAAAACCTCATATGTACAGAGATACGAGGATTATGATTTTGACCTTTTGTGTCATGACTGGCGATCTTCAAGCAGCGTGCATGATACAGCTTTACCTCAGTGGTAGGCTTAAAGAAAGTTCAATGCTCAAGTACTGCTTCCCTCCCTAAACATGTTGACTTCCTTATGAGCTACAAAGCAAAGGCATGGCCAGTACGTTGAGAACCAAGGAAGGCAACATAAGGGAGTGTCTTAATATTAATAAATGTAGGGGATACTTTTTATGCTAGACCAATTTTGAAATTTTGTGGTTTGCCTCGGTGGTGGGATAATGGCCCACTCTTTTACGATCTTCAACCACCACGGGATCTTTAACGTGTGCAAGGAGCACACATCATTGGTGCTTCATGAATGTTCCTGTGTGCTATTGCTTTGTTCATGAAAATGAGTTTGCACCTTATGCTAGTAAGCAGTGTGTCTGATCATTACACCCCCCTTCTCTCTTTCTCCCCCCCCCGTCTCTCTCTCTCTCTCTCTCTCTCTCTCTCTCTCTCTCTCTCTCTCTCTCTCTCTCTCTCTCTCTTTCTCTCTCTCTCACGTTCTCTCATTCTCTCTCCCTCTCTCTCTCACTCTCCCCCGCCCCCTCTTTCTCTGTTCCTCATTCACGATAATCAACATAATACGTGACATACAAATACACTAAGACACACACTCACCCACTCCCCCCCCCCCCCCCTCACACGCACGCAACCTAAAGTACGAGAACTTTGTTAAGAGTAGGTCTCTTTATTTTGTTATAATCACAGAAAACTCTCACCCCCGCCAGACCATGTCCGACCCAGACCCGTTCTCTCAATGCATCGGCAAGTATGAGGTCCACCCGGAATCCTATGAGTTCGTTCAGAGGGTGATGAGCCTTGGCGCCAAGCCTTACTCAGAACTGAGCGTGGCGGAGGTTCGTCAGCAGTCGGCCCGAATTGCTCCGGAACTTACCGGACCCACAGAGTTCTTGGGAAGTGAAACAGAGATCATCGTGCCGTCCCCTTTCTCTACAAATGGCATCCCCGTCACTGTCTACAAACCAGAACTGCTCTCAAAAGTCCCCGCCATTTTTATTTTCTTTCACGGCGGTGGGCTGGTGATTGGAAGCCGAGATTCTTACTCAACAGCAGTGCGGAAGTTGTGTAGTTCTTCTGGGGCCATATTTCTGAACGTCGAATACCGGCTGCTGCCTGATCCAGAATCCCCGATGGCTCCTTTCGAAGATGCGTTGGTTGTAACACGATGGCTGCTAGGCAACAAGGAGGTCGTAGGTGGTCACACACAGAGCAAAGTCGGGGTCGGAGGTGACAGCGCAGGAGGACACATTTCCGCTTGCGTCACGAACGACATCTGTGACCTTGACTTTCAAGTTCTCGTGTACCCGATGACAGACATCACTCGAAGCCAGCCTTCGTTTTCCGAGTTCACGACTACCCCTGGACTTACACTGGACGCCATTAACTGGTTCGCCAGACACAGCATCGAACACATCCCCCGAGCTGCCGAGAACCCGAGTGTCAACCCAATGGTGCAGAGGAATGTGGTTCAATCCCCTCCTGCCCTCTTCGTGTTGGCTGAGCTGGATGCCCTACGTGACTGCGGCCTCGCCTACGCCGACAAGCTGAGGAAAGTGGGCGTGCCGGTTCAGTGCCATGTGATCAAAGGAGTGCCACATGCCTTCTTTCATTTGTGTGACGTTTTCAAAACAAAAACTGCTGAAGCTTACGCGCATATTGCAGACTTTGTCAAACAGTTCCACCAATAGCAATGCTAGAACCACAGGCTGCACGATGTGGATTTCAAGAAAAGAACAAAAAATGTTTATACAAATAAAACAAAAAGTGTCAGGATTACGTGAAACTGCGACACAGCGTATTCAAAATTTTATTTATTTTTTTTTAAACCCACATGTAAACGCTTTGCATTCATATTGAGATGTAAACGATTCCATTTTTCACAGATCCCCGGGAGAATGATTCCCCAATGCAGAACTATAATGATATTTGAAACCTCTATTGTCAATGTGATTCCTATACACTTGCTTTGTTAGCTGTCGAGAAGACGAAATACCCCCCACCCACCCCACTTTCCGCCACACAAAAAATCACTTTGAGTGTGCATAAAATTTATTTATTATCGCAAGCCGCCTCGCACGACAGACAGCAAAGCAACGAGGTATGGTACTAATTTTCGACAATGCTATGAATTGTAAGCTTCAAAGCGCAGGGTCTTGCATTGCATTCTTAAGCTGCAACAAGTTGTCTACATGACACTTAATTACCAAGTCATGGCCTTGCACACAAGTACGAAAACAATTGTGTTCATATTCTCATTAAAATAGTCGTGTGGGGTGACTAAATTTCACTGCAGTTTGCGTAACCTAAAGCCTGACTTGAATGAAATTGTTGAGCTCAATGAGAGTGAGCAACCCACAGAACAAAGCATATATAATCATCTTTCTTTTTCTCTTTACTTTCTGCTCCTTTCTTCATAGTGTTTTGCAGTTAGTGGCAGCTCTTGCAGAGGTTAGTATTGTTTGTTTGCAACACGAAACGACTGTTCTCCTGTCGAACTGTTAGATCAGAATAAAGGCTTTAAAGAATATTATAACCTCTGTGTTTTCTTAACATATTAGTACACATTGCAACTTGTTTATGTTAAAATGGTTTTATAAGCAGACCCAGGTCAGTTGGGACATAAACCATTGTCACATTATCGTCTTTACACCCCAATCTTGGTTGATCAATATCGGAACTAACCATTCCAAGGATGGGATATAATCGAACTTCCTGCTAATGCTGGATGAAACAAGATATTGTTAACGTTATTATTTCGTATTTGTATCGTCTCCGCTTTGAATAATACTAGCTTTTTTCATTCTCAAAAGGGGGGGGGGGGGTGGGTGGGCATTAAAACATTGCAATCATCTCACATTTTCGAACACTAATTTTTATTTTTTTTTATTTTTGGACTTAAACGCAATATGCAAAGTGTTCTTTTCGCCTTACTCCAAGTTGAGAAGATTAGCTCTAACACATTTTGATGAAATTGCCAATCCGTCAGTTATTCGATTCCTTATAAATTGATAAGCATAGGGTTGTACCACGACCAGACTGTAAACTGTAGTCCGTGTGAGTCAATAGTATCATTCGAGCAGAGAGAAAATCAGGCCACCTCTTTTCTTGTTATAGTGTTGTTTGGCGAGTTCAATTTCGCCAAGGCTCCCGATTAACTCCGCCCCCCCCCCCCACCCCCACCCCCCAAAAAAAAACCAGACAAAAAAAAATGTATTTAAATGTATAATTAAATGCAATTATTATTATTTATTTGTCCCGCGAAACATTAAGGCTCGAATCCGAGAGTGAAACGAATCTCAATATTAAGCCTTCTTTCAGTAAAATCTTCCTTCTCGCTCGGCATCCTGTCACGAGACCAAGCGCCCCGCTTTCAGTACAACCTGAGTTTGGGGGACACAGTGAACACATCGTAATGTCCTATCAGCAGCATACCAAAGCCAGTGCTGCAGCCCTATTTGACGCCACACACACTCATCAGATATACAAATTTGCATACTTATGTCCCCGTGGTTTTATGCACCCCGCATAATTAGCCAAATGTGGTCATTTTTTGCGTAATTTCTGATTGTTTTCATTTGTCATACTTTGTTAAAATTAACAGAATCGCATAATTTCACATTTTGAGGCCCAGTTTGCATAATTTTACTTTTTTTGTTGTTGCTTAAAACCACGGGGACGGATACTTAGATAAGGCAAACGGGATAGAAAAAACCTATCTGCTTGAAGAACGAAGTAATGGACACTAAAACAGAACGTCTTCATCAAGCGTTGCCAAACGACCAGAATGCACGTCCTCAATGAGATAACTCTTTAAGTCCTGCCCCCCCCCCCCTCTCCGAGTCCACAGGATAAGTGCCTCTGAGCAAGTGATGGCGGAAGAGTCCTAGACGTACACCCCTTTATGAAAGTAGCGACTGCTCGGTGGGTATCAGGTTGAACTAAGATGTGGATGACCCTATCCCTCGTTCGAATCCCCCCAATGGGGCATTCTTATACCTTTGTTGTTTGGGGAGATCTCAAAGCAACCTATCCGGGCGCGCCGTTAGCTCAGCTGATATCATGCTGGACTGTAGTTCGGAAGGCCCAAGGTCGAATCGGAGATACGAATTTGGATAAGATATATCAAAGTATGTATGTTGTTGCCTGCCTTTTAAAGCTTTTAGATAAAGCAAATCTGCAGGGATAACGAAGTAATGGACGTCTTCACCAAGTGTTGTCGAACGACAACCGGGCGTATGAAGCTTAGAGGCTCTTATTTATGGACCGTTCTTGAACTGGATTGTTTTGGGGGGAGTTTTCAACGTTCTCCACTCACTTGGCTAGGTCTTTTCAGAGATGGACGATAAATTCCGAGATAGTGCCTCTTTAAAAAAACACATACAATGTCGAAAGGGACGTTGAACCTATACTACTATCAAAACTTCAACTGCACTCCACCCATTTTGCTTGGTCCAGCCGACGACGTACATTCAATTCTGAAGTCCCTCCTTAAATAGACGACTTTACAGTGGTAAAAAGGGCGTTAAACCCATAAGATACCAACCCCATCCTTGCAGTGGTATGCTCTCATGCCCTTGGTATCAAAGTCAGAGAACACACCTACGCATTTGTTCTCACAATGCTGGGAGATTCCGAGTTCAATCACTCTGAATCCTCTGAAAAACTTTTATAGTTCTCGAATACTGACCCAACCCTATCACAGATGACGATAAGGCAAAAGTGCATTCTCTTAAATAATCGAAACTTGACGAAAGGCTGGAGTCAAACGTCAGCAAACTATTTCAATTTCCACAGATAAACCTGTAAGCTCCAAATACTTTCAGATAGCCCCAATATCACTGCCACGGCCAGTCGAGATTTCATCTTGGCCGATACAAAGAGGTTCTTGGACGTAAGGATATAAGACGGCTTAGCGTCAGGGGTCGCTTATCTGGTTAGTCGCGGCCCCTTCTGTTTAGAATCCTCGTGTCTTCAACCGTACGTCAAATGCAGCCTCAATAAACACTGCCCACGCTCTGCGGGGTAGATCTATATATACGAGGCCACCCGTCATTTCCCTGTCGATTTTGGAAATGTAATTTGCAAGAAGAGGTTAACAAGGCTGTTGACTGGCAGAGAGATTGCCCCCAGGTTGTGGGGAAATTTGCTGTCGCTCTTGGCTGGTGTACAGGTCAAGTCATCTCTGCACAGAAGCATCTATTTTTTGCAGTGAAGGTGAGTCATTTACAGTAATAAATTAATATTATATATTTGTGTTTGTGTGTGTGTGTCTGTGTGTTTACGTGCATGTGTGTGTGTGTGTGTGCGCGTGCGTGTGTGTGTGTGTGTGTGTGTGTGTGTGTGTGTGTGTGTGTTTGTGTGTGTGTATTTGCATTCGTGAAAGTGGGACTATGTCTACATATGGTGCCTTGTTTGAGAATACCTGTGCCATATGTACATGATGCCATGCCTTTTTATGCTCTGCTATGTCCTATGCCTACGGACCTTTTCAGAAATAGACAGCATGACGCGCTGTGAGAGCTGAGGACGAGATACAAATTGATATTTATAGTCTTTATTCAGACTGTCAAATCGAACTTCTAGATGTGGGTCAAGGTCGTCACCTTTAGTTTTGTTATTGATCCTGCAGGTCCTTTATTTTTTTATTCGAATGCTGAAGCCCAGAGAGGATTTCGCAATCCTCGCACATCTACAAGTAGACGTGAAGTTTTTTAATAGAATCTCAGAACGTGGCAAACATCTCTCTCTCTCTGTATTACTATTAGTCTCATAAGTTATAGCAGGACCCACAAGTCATCTTTTACCCCTATTTTTTCTATTTCGCTCAAGAAATACGGTCCTCTGCAGATGGACTGGGCATCGTTGGAAACTGACAGACAAACTATTTATATTATAATAATATTATTGTAAACTAGTTTCTGTTATCTTTGAAATATTTTGATGTTAGGAGTTGTATCCCATTAAGAAATACAGAGTCGTTTGTTTCTTTAAATCTTGTCCGATGCTCTTTTTTCTCTTAAATTTCTTCTGTTTTATCTTTTTTAACAGAATCTGTTTCTCTTCTCAAGTTTCAGACTCAATAGGTCGAGAAAATGTCACGTGACAGTCTGCTGTCTCCCACGTGGTGTGCCACCATATTTCTCCTCATGACAACGTACGTCATCGTCTCTGCGGACCAGAAACATTTCCGGGGCGGGCACATCCACTTGAACATCACGGAAGTCCGTGGTGACAATATCACAGCCAATGTGACCATTGTCTCGGCCTGGCGACTTGATGCATCCCCCTGTGGACCCGGCTGCTCATTCCAAGACATCGGTCTGTCCACCACCAACGCACGAGCAGACATTCTGCGCAGAAGTAGAAATGACGACTTGTTCGGTCGTTTTGTCTTGGAGGTAAAGTCACGCGCTCCAGACCAGCCGGCTTCTTCAAGTGACATCACAGCACGTGACATCACGACTTACGTGAACACCCATTGCAAGGGAAGGGTGTTTGACGTGAACGCGAAGGAAGGCTGGGTACAAGAAGTCTTGAAATTTAATTTGACCTTGAACCCATACACGGCATACTTTGAAGTCATGATGAGTGGGCTGTCCTGGCCTGACTTGGCGCAAAACTGCTCTTCCCGTGGTTCCGGTTGCGGTTACCATCTGCAGAGTAGACTCCAGGTCGGTGAACGAAATGA